TAGTATAGTAGTAGTAGTACTGGTAGCACAAGTTGTAGTCGCAGTCGCAGTCGCAGTAGTAGTAGTCGTAGAGGTGGTAGTAGTAGTAGTAGTAGTAGTAGTCGTCGTCGGCCGTCGTAGTAGTAGTAGTAGGTAGTGTTGTAGTAGCAGTAGTAGTAGCAGTAGTCGTAGTACTAGAACTAGTACGAGTGCTAGTAGTAGTAGTAGTAGTAGTAGTGGTAGTAGTAGTAGTAGTAGTAGTGATAGTAGTAGGAGGAGGAGTAGGAGTAGGAGTAGGAGTAGGAGTAGGATTAGGAGTAGTAGTAGTAGTAGTAGTAGTAGTAGTAGTAGTAGTAGTAGTAGTAGTGGTACTCGTAGTAGTAGTAGTAGTAGTAGTAGTAGTAATAGTAGTAGTAGTAGTATTACTGGTAGTAGTAGTCGTAGTAGTAGTTTTCGTAGGAGCTTTTCCCGTGGATCACCAACGTCCCGTTACCAGAGTTTTCTGCGTTCGGAATTTTCTGGCTGGCGAGCGTGGCTGTCTGACCCAGCCAGCGGGCCCGATGGGCACCATATGTGATGCGCGTGGTCTCGACAACCCCACGGCCTCATTGGTGAGCGTGGCAGTCGCCACTGACCCAAGGAGGTGTCGGGAATCGTTCTGTCTCCGTCAATCAATCCAGTCTCGTTTCCGAGTTTTTTCTGCGTCCAGAATCTTATGGCCGGCGAGCGTGGCGGTCGCCGCTGACCCAGCCAGAGGGCCTGATGGGCACCTATCTGACGCGCGTGGCCTCGACAACTTCGGGGTCTCATTGGCGAGCGTTGCAGTCGCCACTGACCCAATGAGGTGTCGGGAATCGTGCTGTCTCTGTCGATCAATCCAGTCTCGTTCCCCGAGCCGTCTGTGTCTGAAATCCTCTGGCTGGCGAGCGCGGCGGTCGCCGCTGACCCAGCCAGAGGGCCCGACGGGCGCCGTATCTGCTGCGTTTGATCTCGACAGCCCTGGGTCCTCATTGGTGAGCGTGGCAGTCGCCACTGACCCAATGAGGCGTCGGGAATCGTTCTGTCTCTTACGATGCTTCCAGAGTCGTTTCCCGAGCCCTCTGTGTCTGGAAACCTCTGGCTGGCGAGCGTGGCGGTCGCCGCTGACCCAGCCAGAAGGCCCGACGGGCGCCGTATCTTCTGCGTGTGATCTCAACAACCCTCGGGCCTCATTGGTGAGCGTGGCACTCGCCACTGACCCAATGAGGCGTGGGGAATCGTTATGTCTCTTACGATGAATCCGGAGTCGGTTCCCGAACCCCCCGTGTCTGGAAACCTCTGGCTGGCGAGCGTGGCGGTCGCCGCTGACCCAGCCAGAGGGCCCGATGGGCACCTTATCTGATGCGCGTTGTCTGAACAACCCCGGGGCCTTCTTGGTGAGCGTGGCAGTCGCCGCTGACCCAATGAGGCGTCGGGAATCGTTATGTTTTTTCTTGAGGGGTGAAAAAAGAAGATGGAGTGGGAAAAGGAGGAGAGGAGGAGGAGGAGGAGGAGGAGGAGGAGGAGGAGGAGGAGGAGGAGGTAGGGAATTGGACGATGGTTCGGTTTTGGAGCCAGGGGAGGGACATGAGTCGTATGTGCTAAACACGTATGTGTTCTGAAGGGAATCGGACGACGTTACGGTTTGGGGGCCAGGGGAGAGACGTGAAAATAGAGGCGATGGATCGGGCGTCTTGGGGCGACACCGCCGCTGCAGCTGGACTCCGTGCGTTGTCTAGCTGCCTTCGGCCCACCCCGCCACCGTGCTTGGGCTGTGGGTAGGAAGCGCATGGGATCTCCGCTGGGATGTCGTCGGGGCCCTTTTCGTGAGCTCCTTGGAGGCAGCTTGGAAGGCAGTTGAAGCCGCTTTGGGGTCTCATTTGATATTATTTGGGGCATCCTGGGGTTTTTTGGTGCCTGTTGGGGGCCTTCTGGGGTTTATTGGGGTGCATCTTTGGGGCTCCTGGGAGCCTCTTCGGGCGGAACGTTGGAATTATGGGTCCGAGGCCCCCCTCATGGGCCCCTCTTCGAACCGTTTTGGGGCACTCTTCTGCCGTTTTGGGGGCGTTTTGGGCCGTTTCGGAACCCTTTGAGGCTGCTTCGGCGGCCCTTTGGGGCCTCTTGGGCCGTCGTGGAACGGTCTTGGGGGCCTCTTGGTTTGTCGTCAAGGCTGCGAAGGCCGAAAAGTCGCATATGTTCAAAATGCACGTATTCCAAATGGTAATTGACGATTTGGGCATCGTGGGGGCTTTTGAAACTCCGCCTGGAGGCGTCCTGGGGCGTCTTGGCGGCTTCTTGGGCCGTCCTGGGCCCATCTCGTGCGTGTTGGAGCGATCATTCGGAGACTCTGTGCTCTCTTGGGCCGTCTTGGGCGTGTCTTGGGGGCCTCGACAATGGGCTGTTTTGGAGCAGATAGCGGGCGTTTCGGTCCGTTTCGGAACCCTTTTGGGGCTGTTTTGAAGACTTCTTGGGAGCCTCTTGGGCCGACGTGAGGCGGTCTTGGGGGCCTCTTTGGACTGTCGTCAACGCCGTGACGGCCGAAAAGTCGCATATGTCAAACATGTACGTTTCCCCGATGGAAATTGACGATTTGGGCGTCGTAGGGGGGTTTCCTGAGAGACCTCCTGGAGGCGTCCTGGGGTGTCTTGGCGGTTTCTTGGGCCGTCCTGGGCACATCTTGGGCGTGTTGGAGCGATCATTCGGAGACTCTGCGCTCTCTTGGACAGTCTTGGGTGTGTTCTGGGGGCCTCGACGGGCTGTCTTGGAGCTTCACAGCGAGCCTGGGGAGCCAGGCCCCCCCCCCTGATGAGTTCGAGGGTGGGTCGGGTCCGACGAGGGGGGGGGGGGGGGGGGTCAAATTGCCGGTTTGGGGTCCCGGGGGGGGGGGGGGGGCTATGGGGGGGAACAATCTCACGCGCCTAGAGACCCACAAGGGGTCGGCGGGTGGCTCTCTCCTATTCCGAAGTGCACGTGCTCGTGACCAGCCTTCGGACCGAGGGCGGGCCTCCAAAGTGAGCCGCACCTCCTTCCGCATGAAGACCTGGTCAGCTCCCCGCCAGGCGTTTTTTCCGCAATCGGGGAAGCATGCGAGACCTTCTGAGAGTTATCGGTTAAACTCTCACCAGTTTTGAAGACCTGGTCAGCTCCCCGCCAGGCGTTTTTCCGTAATCGGGGAAGCATGGAGACCTTCTGAGACTGGGCTGGACTGGACAAGGCCGCGCTTAGACGGCGCATCGGCAAAAGATTCGGCAATCCTGAATATACACATGTGGGGAGGCGTGCACGAACGTGCAAACTATCAGCTGCACAGTGCCTCGGTGAAATCGCCGCCTCCTTTGCGCCAGCGAAGTGCGAGGGAAACCTGCGCAACATTCCGGGGGGGGGGCGGAGGGAGGGAAGGAGGGAGGGGGGGAGGGGAAGGAAAAGGCACATAAGGCAAACACATTCATAATGTCTGCGTGTACTGATCGACTGCTGCGTCCCACTGCGCGGACTGCAGCAAATCCTGTAAACGTTCCGAACCGTTCCCCGCTGCGCTCAGAGCCCAGGCGTGCATGTAAGTTGTCCAGTGTAATCGTGGTCGTCTTTTTTTGCGAAGGATGCCTTTCCACTTCCAGGGGGCAAGCTCAAGCGCGGGCCCCTGCTCAATTGACTCAAGTACCATTGTCTTTGGAAATGCCGTCGAAGGTGACCTCGCCACTTTATCGTAGTACTTCAATTGCCGCTGCAATAGAACAACTGATAGCTTTTGTGCTTGTGCTGTCGTTCGCACCTGAACACTGCTGACTCGAGAGACAAACGCTGGCGGGATCTGGTAGATTCTCCGGAGACACCTCGCCTGGAAGCCGTCGAGTCGATCCAGATCACGTGATAGTAACAGACATGATTCCAGACCATGCAGTAGTTTTGAAATTACGCATGCTTCCAATGTTCGTGTTTTCTTCTGTCGGCTCACACTCGCGTGGTCCCATGCAGTGCTGAGATGTTGGAAGGCACCTTTCGCTTCCCCGAGTCGCCCTGTAAGTTCAGTGTGTGGATTCCCATCGGAACTAAGAAGTCCTCTCAAATAACTTGCATGATTTTTGCATTGGATTTCTTCGCGTCCAGGCCCGAATATGTGAGCATTTGATCGGATCCTCATCAACATAGTTTTCCCTTCGTTCAAGTCCAACCAAAATCCTTCGCCAACCTTTGCCGTGAGATCCAGATGGCGCTGCAATGCGTCCGGTTTGTCGGCAAGAAGCATCGTGTCGTCGGCATGCAAGATGTCCCGGGTAACGAGATAGCTGTTGGTGCACGTTCCGGCGTTGTTGTTCATCTCGTTGTCCACGGATTCCATCATCTCAGAGAGGATTATGAAAATGTACGGGGATAAAGGGCAGCCCTGAGCAATGCCAGCATTTTGCGAACGTTGTGAGGATGTGTGTGTTGCCTTTCTCGCACAACAAACTCCCGCGCTGTGTATATACCTTGAATCGTATCGATCATAGCCACAGGTATTTGGAATTGACGCAATGCGCGCAGCAGCCCGTCGGGATTGATACGATCAAACGCCGTCCTCCAGTCTAACAGAAGTATGAGCAATGCCCCATGCTTGTCTTCAAGTGTTGCTTCGATTAAGCGGCGTGCCAGAAACAAAGGGACCTTCTGAGAGTTATCGGCTATAAACTCTCAGCACTCGTGAAGAACAGTTGGTGAGGCTCAGCAATCTTAACTGCGAGGCGCTTAACAGTCAATGGTGCGCAAAATGTCGGGGCTCAAAAGATGGCCCGGCGAACTTCGCGACAGCTTCTTCTCCGGGACAAAAGAGGAGGCAGCGCGACGATCGAGAAATTCGATGCCCACCACCATCGCGCAGCATTCAAACGGGCAGGATATTTGCAGAGGGCCGGCAACGACGACCCGAACAGTTTGAGCTGCCAGGTGATGAGGTGCAAAGATTGGGTTCGGTTGCAGAGGATCATGGCTGCCACAGAGGCAAACACTGCCGGAAGCTCCGCACTTAGAGGCGGGATGCACAATTGCGCCGCATGCTGTTCGAGAGTGCCGGCGAGCCCTGGGCGACGGTTGCCGCGGACAGCTGTCGATGGTACAGCATATTGAACGATCTTGTCTGCCGCAGTTGCAACGCATGGCTACGTCCACATAGAGAAGTCCCACACATCATGACGCATTGAGCTGAGGTGGGCGCAGGGATCTCACCGCGGTCGACGGACCGATTGTGCCGCCTTGGACATTGGTAGTTGGTGATTGTTGTTGTTTTTGGTGTTGTTGTTGGCGTTGTTATTGTCGTTGTTGTTGAATTCCCATTCTTGAGATAAGTATTGTTGGCCGCCCCCAGCGGTGCACGTTTAATCCCGAACCATCTTGTGGCGTTTGCTCCTCATTTTGAAGATTCCGCGCCCTGCGTCCGCCCCCTTTCCTTTTTTCTTCCTGGCCCTTCCCTCCCTTGCCTTTGCCCTCCGCGCGCGCGCTCCGTGGCCCCATTGGGAGCTCCGCCGACGGCCCCATTGGCAAAGTTCGCGCGGCGGCCCCGCCTCGCCGCGGCGCGCCCCTCGCGTTAAAAAGCCGGCGCCGGCGGCGGGCTCGCTGAGTTATGTGTAGACGCAATCGGAGCCTGTGGCGGGCATTTTCAGAGCGTCGCAGACTGCCGACGACGCCCGCCGCCCCCTCGCTCTCATCGGAAACTGCGGGGTTTATGGTGTACGTGTAAATATAGATGTAGAACTGTGTTTGTACGCATAAATGTATGTATGCATGCATGCATGTATGCGTAATATATATATATATATATATATATATATATATATATATATAGTATATATATACGTATATATATATATACATATGTATATACATATACATACACATATATATATATATTGCAGTCGCAGAACCAAACAATAAAACCGAACAACCGATCAACCGGTAAACCGATAAAGTATATCGGTTGATCGGTTGATCTGTAAATCCGCCGATAAACCGAAATCATTATATCGTTTTATCGGTCGATTAACAGATCAACCGCCGATCAACCGATAAATCTGCCATGTGATCTTGCGATGGATTTCCAGCTCGGGGGATGTTTCTCGGCTTATCGGTTTATTGGTCGACAATTGTATGAACCGGTAAATCACGAAACCCGCCCCGTGCTTCCGCGATGGATTCCCAGTTCGGAAGACGCTTATCGGTTTATCGGTTTATCGGTCGACAATCATTTGAACCGGTAAACTGCGAAACCCGCCCCGTGCCTCCGCGATGAATTCTTGGTTCGGGAGACGTTTATCAGTTTATTGGTTTATTGGTCGCACATTATTATTACTACTACTATCGTTACATTAACCACTACCGATTTTACTATGAATTTCTATACTACTACTATAACTTCGACTACGACTACTCGTGCTACTCATTGACGTTTATCGGTTTATCGGTTTATCGGCCGCATTTGGCATTATGTTCGGCCCTCCGTCAGCTTTTCGCTCAATTCGGCATTCTGTTTTGCGCTTCGTCAGCTTTTCGCCTACCACGCCCGGCTGACAGCAGAACGAGCGCGGGCGTTTATTTCAGAGTGCGTTTACGACGAGTGAATAATTAAACCGTGATTTTTCGCAAATCGTTATCGGTTTATCGGTGTATCGGTCGCCCACGTACTACTACTACTACTACTACTACTACTACTACTACTACTACTACTACTATTACTACTACTACTACTACTACTACTACTACTACTACTACTATTACTACTACTACTACTACTACTACTACTACTACTACTACTACTACTACTACTACTACTACTACTACTACTACTACTACTACTACTACTACTACTACTACTACTACTACTACTACTACTACTACTACTACTACTACTACTACTAGTACTACTACTACTACTACTACTACTACTACTACGACTACTACTACTACTACTACTACTACTACTAGTACTACTACTACTACTACTACTACTACTACTACTACTGCTGCTGCTGCTACTACTACTTCTTCTTCTACTACTACTACTACTACACCTACACTGACCACTACCGACGCAACTATTATTTCTATACCACTACTACTAATTGTTGGCCCGGCTGACAGTATAATGAGCGCGGGTGAATATTCCAGCGTGCGTTTGCGACGAATATGTTATTAAGTCGTGATGTTTCGCATGTCTTTATCGGCTTATCGGTCGCCCACCATTACTACCACCACACTGACCACTACCGATCCTACCAGTATTAACGCACTGGTATTTTAACTACTACTACTACTACTACCACTACTACTACGACTACTACTACTACTGTTCCCCCGGCTGACAGCAGAATGAGCACGAGTGAATGGCCATTACTATTTTACTCATACAACTGCTTCTACGACTACTAATGCTATTACTAGGCGTTTATTTGTTTATTGGTTTACCTGCCGCATTTGGCATTACGTTCGGCGTTCCGTCAGCTTTTCGCTCAATGTGGCATTATGTTCTGCGTTTCGTCAGCTTTTCGCCTACCACCCCCGGCTGCCGGCTGACAGCTGAACGAGCACGGGCTACTACTACTACCACTACACTGGCCACTACCGACGCTACTATTATTGTTATACGACTACTACTACTACTACTACTACTACTAATTTTTCGCCCCTCTGACAGTCGAATGAGCGCGGGTGAATATTCCAGCGTGCGTTTGCGACGAGTAAGAAATTAGGCCGTGATGTTTCCGCATCTCCTTATCGGCTGATCGGTCGCCCACCATCACTACCTTTACACTGACCACTGCCGATCCTACTTCTATTAACACATTGCTACTATAACTACGACTACTACTACTACGACTACTAAGTCAGAGGCTGTTCGGTAGCCTGTGTGTTTTCGCATATGCAGTAAGCGAATGCCCGCGCAGCGACGACGACGACGATGACGGTGGCAGCGGTGATGATAGAGCGTGTTTTGAGGCAGTCATGTCCCCATCGCGTCTCGCAGTGCTAACTACCGAACATGCGGT